CTCATGAAGGCTTTTGGTATATTTATGTAATTTATTGGATTATCTGTAGTTAACTAAATATAGTTTGCTGTAAAACCCCTTTTGAGAAATTACAGGTGAACCTAAGGTTGTATTTTGTGGTTTTTCACCCACAAATAATTTCAGTCTTATGTAACAATGGTGTTTGCTACTTCCAAGTAAATTCAGTTTTAGCAGAAAACATTAGAAAAGTGTTACAGTAATGTGCTTAAATTAAAGATCAGGCATTTGGGAAAATTTTTTTTTACAAAAGGCGTTTTTTTGTTTTTGTCTGGAATTAAGCAGCTGCAGTAGAAACAGATTAAAGTTGCATAATTTTCTGAAGTTCATTCTGAAAAGCTGCAGCTGAGATCGCTCTCTCAGCTGTGTGTAAAAATCTGAGCACACAATGGTGGCCTTGTCTGAGGGCAGCCAAGCTGTGTTAATTTAAGCATATTTAGCTGTTGATTTGGCAGGAATTGAGTTAACATTGAGAAACTTTGTCTGAACCATGAATAGTGAATCCTCTGAATATGAAGGAGTTAAAACATGTAGCTGGGATATTTAAACCTTTTGTCATGGAGAGGACTTCAGGGGCTGCAAACCTTTTAGTATTTCTGTTTTTAATTATAATTGCAATAAACTACTTTACAGTAAACTAATCACAATATTTTTATATAATTTATTTTCATCAATTTATGTGGTATTGTTTGTGTACAGCTCTTTGTTGCATTTTTAATCTGCTTTTAAAATTGATAAATAAATAAATTTGACATTGACATTGATTATAATAATAACTAAAGCAGTCAGATTTCTGCAGACAAGCGATCTATCAATTATTGTAGATTGAAAGCATAAATATGACTTGCAGGTTTGCTAGATTATTTAAAAAAAACAACAACAATAAACCACATCCTAAATTTATCAAGTTGATCCTTTTTTTTCTAGATTTTTTGTGTCTTTTCAGCATCATAAACAGTACATGGCTCACTCTTGCTTTATTTTGAAAAGTTATTAAACAGGCAAAGTCACTGGATGTTTCTGTTTCCATTTTACTAACAAATTCAATTCAATTAAAAGCAAAAACCTGCGCGCATATTTTGCGTTGCACTATAGATTTTCGTTGAATGGTTAAAATATATCCACTCTTATTTTGAAAAGTTGCAGTGTCTCACTCACAACAAATAAAATCGTGAGGTGTGAATTTGCTTCATCTGCCTTTAAATGCCATAAAATAAACAGCATGCAGTTTGTTGCGTGTCTCGACAGTCCCAGTGATGCGTCTCTTCAGCTGCATGTGTCTTTAGAGAATGTGTCTAGCTATGTGAATGTGCACCAGCATGCTCAGTCAGCGTTTCCCGTACAAACTGGGGTCAAAGTAACAGCCCGTCCTTATGCGTGCAGGAGTGCACGCCGTTCGCTGTGATCGGCAGCAACACCGTGGTGGAGGCGAGAGGACAGCGGGTCAGAGGAAGGCTGTACCCCTGGGGGATCGTTGAAGGTAAATTCATGAACGATGCGTTCCTTCAGCTGCTTTTCCATTAAAGCTGCAGTGTGTAGCTTTAATAAAAAACATCTGGGAAAAGATTGATCTCCTCCCTGATCGATTATTGGATTATCTGGATTCTCTACCCACTGAAACTAAAACAAACATGTTTTAACCAGACAAAAACACACATCTGTAGTTTCTATTAAGATTTTTATTGAAAGAAACTGATTTGGAAAATTTAATTTTGTCTGATTTTGTTATTTTTCTGTTACTAAAATGAATTATTGTAATATTCGTCCTTAAAATACCAAAATTTCCACTTAATTTAAGATTTTGGTCCATCTGTTTATGTTGTTTTTAGATATTAAATGATTGATAATTGCATCAGTTACTCAAAAACATCTGGAATGTAAAATGTCACAAATCACCAGACACTGCCTTGTTACCTAGCAACTACAGACAAGTCTGGGCCGTTGCCTAGCAACCCCAGCGGAACTCTGGCAGATCACTTACCTACCTTTTTACTCTTACTTGAGTTAAATTCTGCCAACCTCTGCATACATGTGGACTTTATAGATTAAATATTTGACTGAATTTTATTTAAGGGTATCGATACTTAGAGGTTTATGGAAATGATCCGGTGGTGTAAATCCTTGTGTGGGAATGCTGTAATCTGGCTTACTGATTAAACGCAGATGTTTCTGTCCACAGTGGAAAATCAGTCGCACTGCGACTTTGTGAAACTGAGGAACATGCTGATCCGCTCGCACATGCACGACCTTAAAGACGTAACCTGCGACGTCCACTACGAAAACTACAGAGCGCAGTGCATCCAGGAGATGACTAGGTTTGTCTCTCTGTGTGAGAAAGAGTCTGATGAGGAGAAAAGGTGCAAAATGGCAATGTTTCATGAACCTGACGCTGATGTTTACAGACCGAAGACAACGTTTCATCCCTCATCTGCTTTCTGTTTCGTCTCGTAGTAAACTGGCTCAGGATAACCGGATGGAGAGCCCAATCCCCATCCTGCCGCTGTCCACTCCAGACGCAGACACTGAGAAGCTAATCAAGATGAAAGACGAGGAGGTCAGAAATAGCCTAGACTTTTGGTTTAAAAAAAAGCTGAGGAGAGCTGCATGGTGTAACAGTAGTTTTTTTCTCCAGCAAGAACAAACCAGGTACTCATGACTGTTATAATTAGTTACTCTGAGTCAGTGGTGTCCAAAATAGTTAAGTTAAAAGCACATGGGGCCACAAAAAACTTTTTTTCACCTTTTTCTATTTATTTTCTCAGTAAGGGGCAAAAAAATCTGTAGAAAACAGATCAACAAATCATTGTAGATAGAAAACATAAAAAAGATCTAGCAAATTTCTACATTTTTTCAGGGTGTAGCTCTCTCTTGGCCAGTGGCCGCTGGAGGTTGCACCAGATATAGACACTAGATGTAGGAGGACATAAACATGTCTACAGTTAATTGCCTTTCCACTTCACAATCCAGTTTCATAAAATAATTCGCAATATAACTGAATGCATCACAATGGGGCATGTTGCAATAATTCCCAAAGTAATAAAGTCAAAACCAGATGGTCTGTTTGTAATTGAATCTGCTTACATTTAACTGAGGCCTTCAATGCTTGTCTTTATAAAAACAAATATATCCGCTATGTCGTCCAAAAAAATAATATTGAATACATTTAATTGGATTCAGAAAAGTTTTTGTCCAAATCTGCTACTTAGCGTTGCTTTAAACACACCAAACCCATAGGGGGCAGTGTAGCGCAAAGCTACACCCACGTCAGACAATCAGGTTGCTTAAAAACAAACATGATCACTATGAGAAATATGAAACAATAGAATAGAGCATGTTATATTATGTAATAGACATGAAAAAGAGACAATGTGAGGAGAAAGTTTGAAAATATTACGGAAAAGATTAGTAAGGTCAATACTTTGAAAAAGAACTACAATAACATGCTAATCATTAATCGTGTGCTAACATAAGCTAGTAATTATTCAATTTTTAATGAAAACTAAATTGCTTCATAGAATTTGATTATATATTTAAGCAGTGTTTTTTATAAATTATATCCTCCATGCCAGCAGATGGCGGTAACGTTTCTTACAAACCGGCAATAAAAATTAAGAAGTGTCAAAGTACATAAATGTATTGGCGGATTTCTTAAATCTCCACTTTTTAACAAATATAATCATTTTTAACAGTATTAAACGGAGTTTTTGTATGAATGAAAGTCCAAAGCGCATAAAAATGTATTTGTTTTCCCAGATAACAGGAGTTAAAGGGAAGGAATTAAAATGTGCTGGGCCAATTTAAGCTAATTAAATTAGAATATGACGGTTTAATGGGAACTGACAAGCAGCTATTGGATAAAGTTAGCAGTTTAGTGCTTGACACTACTGGAAGGACAATCATAACAAACACTCCTGAAAAGTGTGGAATTTAATTTATTAGTCTGTAAGCATTAATAAGTCTAGAAAAAAGGATGAAGCATGTTTGAATTTAAATTAAATTCAATTCAGATTCTTTATATATACAACAAATGTCGTCTCAAGGCAATTGCAAAAAATATGTTAATTCAATCACACACACATTTCAATTGATCCTAGTTATCAAATAGTGCAGTATGATCAATTAATTATTCAAAGTAGTCATTTATATTCAAATTTTTTCATGAACAGCCTGTTTATTTCTGAAAACACGCAGGTTATTTATGATGTGTTGACTTTAATTCCCTCTGCAGCTGAAGCGGATGCAGGAAATGTTGAATAAGATGCAGCAGCAGATGCACGACAAGGATCAGTGACATATCCAGAGCTGCCCTGCAGCGCCACCTGCTGTTCCTCTCCTGGAATGACAGTGAGACCTTCAGACCTGGATTTGGATTGTTCTGAGCGGCAAACCCCGGCGGACTCTGCATTTCTCTTCAGTTTGGTGCTCCATTTTGTCTGTCTGCCTGGAGGTTGTTTGTGTTTTCCAATTTTGAGCCCCTGGCTGTGACATCAACTCGAATAATTTTAAGATATAATTTAAATAACTTCTCAGTATCTAATTTATAACGCAGTGCTTAACATTTTTGGATATAATGTGAGGTGTTTTGTAAAGAGCTGTAGGCTAATGATTAGATTTGAACATGGGTGTTGTTTTTATTATGCAAGTCTGTGTTGGATATGCGAGTGTATCATAATATTTCTTCCACTCCAGGTTTCCGTCCATTTTCCCCTATTTTCCCCGTTTGAGGAAGTTCCAATTCATTGAAATCAAACATTTGCTGTGAATTTCTTCATTAACATTTAGAGTTTCTTATGGTCAGTGTAAACATCTTCTTCCAGGTTTTTTAACGTGAAGTCTGGGCTTAAAATGCACCCACTGCTAACAGCTAAAACAAGGGTTTGTGCATTAATGAGTGCATGCGTGCGCATGCTGTCATTACTCATATCTCCTGGAAGCTTTGGGCCTATTTTTTACTGCTTATTATCCAATTCCTTGTGCTTGTATTTAATGCCTCCTGCGTGGTGTTTGTGTTGTCACCACAGCATTATGGGAAATAAGTGATGAGGAGCCAATACCACGTCTTTGCTTCTGTTTTAAACTTATTGTTGTTCACTTAACGTAGTGAAAAATCCATGTGAGCTAAGGCTGCAGAGTGTGTGCAGGTGACTGTGTGTGTGTGTGTGTGTGTGTGTGTGTGTGTGTGTTGACTTTACTGCTGCTGATTACCTGTACAGCCCTGAAGGCTGTGAGCTCAGTCTTTGTGCCCCATTTTGCAAAGGTGTGATAAATAAACTCCTCTTCTTGTCAGGCTGTTGTTTTTTCTGACTCATTGTTGTTTTATTTTTAGAGTTTGAGTCCAGTGAGCACATCACTGTGTCCTTCATCACTTCCACACATCAGCTGGGCTGGAAGACGAAGCTTCTGCAGGAACATGATCTGCTGATTCATGTTTATCTCCTGCAGACATTTTTCCTCCCTCTGCTCACAGCATCGTCATCCCGCCTGGCAGAGGATGCATGGATATAATATAGTGTATCTGCACCAACGTTCCTGTTGCAGTACTTTGTGAGCCAAAAACAATAAATAAAAGATTTTTATGATAAAGGATTTTCTATTTTTGCAGAAGGTAAATATAGATAAACATTTCCGTCCAAAGCTACTTAATCACAATATATTGAAATGCCTTTTCTTGTATGCTTTCTAATTCAGTAAAGTACCTAAAGTTTAGATGAAACAGCAAAGAAATAAAATGTTTCAATTTAAAATCCCCAAAGCTTTAAAATAACAGTCTGGCATCCTGGATAAATCAAATTTTCAGTAATTTATTCATATAACGTTTGTCAGCAACACTAAGGTTTTTTGCAAACTTAAAAAGATTTCTATATATCTTCACTAACCACTAACAGAGAGTGTTCGCACATCTTTGCTTACCGAGACAAACGGTAAGCAAAGATGTGAAATCACTTAAATCAGCAGCGTAAAATCAGTATAATTAGCAGATTGATTTCTAAAGAGGAGTGCTAAAGTTTATTTAAATCCTTATCTTGAGCGGGAGAAACAAAAACTTTCATAATCACAGATTATTGAGCATGTCAAGGTGAGAATTAAAATTAAAATTAATAAAGTTCTATGATATCAAAGAGTGTCTATCTGGGGGAGCCTTTGCAGAATCGTGTTTCTACAAGAGCAGAGACTCAACATTGACACCAGGGGGCGTTGGAGGGCATTTGCGCCCAAAGTTTTAGATGAAGACAAAAGTTTTTATAGCTAAAACTAACAAAATAACAAAAAAAAAAAAAAAAAACCTAATAAAAATTTTAAATGGAAATCAAATCTAAGGTGCACCATGTGAGTAAACATTCAAATAGTAATAAAAACACATCTGACATGAAGGTGAAGCCTAAGAATTGAACCAGCATTGACTTAACATTTAAAATGTTACTAGTAATTTGCAGGTCTCTTGTAAGAGTTATAAGACTTACCTATGGAATCTCTCTATTATTGATTATGGATTTTACTCAACAGCGCAATTTAAATCTGCAGAATTTTTTAATGGCAGTTATGACAAATATTTTTCTATGATTAGCTTTCTATTTGTTTTCCAGGAACTAGGAGGATCTTCTGACTTACTCTGTTGTAGATTATCTGTGTGTGTGTGTGTGTGTGTGTGTGTGTGTGTGCGTGCGTGCGTGCGTGCGTGCGTGCGTGTGGCTCATAACTTGACAGCAGTGTTTATCAGTGTGAGCCAGCTGTCACACTCACCACATTTTTCTTCTGAAAATCAGCCAGAAGGAAATTCGTCTCCAGAGGACGTCTAGAAACGAAGGTAAACGTCAAACTTTTATTTAATTTTACATTTAATAAGTTACTCTTCAGTGGATATTTTTAACGTAACATATTCAGTGCTAACAGTCACATAAACTTGAAAGGAAAAAGTTTTGCTGTGTAGGTGAACATAATCAATTTTTAAAAGCATAAAATATTTTTAAAAAGTTTTTCAAATTACTGTTCAGTCCCCAAGAAAAACAACACAAAATTACTGAAAAAGCATAAACTGGTGGGATAAAATCTGTAGATTTGTCCGAATTGAGCAGTTTTTGTATAGAAAAATATAAGACAATTAATGTTCAAAAGGATTCTGGATAGGCGATGTATTTTAAGCTAATTTTAATTTTAAATAAATAATATTGCTTCACTTTGAATGCAGCCGTCCATGATTACTGACATTAGACATTGTTTAAATTCAAATCAGTTATTCAATTCACAACAAATATTGTCTCAAGTCACTTACAGAAAAAATTCAAATTCAATCTAATTCAAACAAATTGGTGCTAGTTATCAATAATTCTATAAAGTTAGGTTTATTCTACAAATGGATCAGAATATTTGTCTAACATGATGCAGCAACAACAATGGAGAAATTAGATATTATTTCCAATGATTTTTTTATCTTCTTTATATTTTCGTTAAGGTCAGACAGTAAATAGTTCAGTTACTTGAGTAACTCTTTGGAAAATATGTCCTTCCAGCAGTATTTTCACTATGCTGTGCTTTTTACTTTTACTTGTGTATTTTCATTATGAAGTATTTATACTTTTACTTGAGTAAAATTTCTGTGAACAACTTCAGTGAATGAATCACAAACTTGTTTTAACCAAAAATTCACCAAACACAAACTTGCAGTTTTTGTTAAAATCTCATAAATTTTATGTTCATTATTTTCAGTTTAGTCCTTAAAATACCTAAAATTTTGGCATAACTTTACATTTTGGTGCATCTGATGATGTAATTTTTAAATATTAAATCATTGATAATTTGATTACTCAGTAAATAAGTAATATTTTGCCAAATATTTTTTCACTCTCACTTAAGTAATTTATTGAATGGCTACTTTTAATTTTACTTGAGTAAAATATGCTCAAGTAGTGCTACTTAGTTGAGTATAATTTTGGGGTACTCTGTCCACTTCTGGTTATTGTCTTGCCATACTCGGTTCAATTCTCTTTCGTATTGCTCAAAAGGTCTTGCCGTATTAGTTTTTTGATTTAGTCTTGAATTAAATTTTTTGTGCATTTCTATTTAATTGTACGACTTTCTTTGATTTAATGCTACAGCTTTATTTCACTTATGTTAGTCTCTCGCCACAAATTGTACTCAAGTAAGAGTAGAACTACTTCAAGTGCTTCTTTGACCTCGGTGACCTTTTGTTTCTTCCCTGCAGTTTGGTAACCATGACGACGCACCTGCTCCTGTGTCTTCTCTTACTCGGAGGTCACAGGTCATTGGCGTGCCCCGACCCTTGCTCCTGTCAGGGTGGTCGGGTGGAATGCAGTGGCAGGTCTCTCACTTCCGGGTCCATGCCCTCCAGTTTCCCTATCGGAACCACCGAGCTGCGTCTCCATGACAACCTGCTGAGCACCCTCCCCAACGGGCTGCTGGACGACCTGACGTCCCTGCGCTCCGTCTCCCTCCACGGCAACCCCTGGATATGTGACTGCGGCATCCTCTACCTGCGAGCCTGGCTGAGACGTCAGACCACAGACGACGCGTCCTACCTGGGGGTGAACTGCAGTTCTCCTCCCAGCCTGAGGGGGCGCTCTGTGGTGTATCTGACCGAGGAGGAGGTGCTGGAGTCCTGCCACTACTGGTACTGCAACCTGGCCCTGGCCTCTCTGGGCTCCCTGGTGGTGTTTGTGGCGGTGCAGGCGGCTCTGCTGGTGGCTCTCGTCGTTTTCCTGAAGAGGTTCGAAAGGGTGACAAAGGAGGCCAAGCAGACCACGGAGGAGAGCTTCACGGCCGGGGATGGACTCAGAGAAAACGATTATGAGCGTTTAAAGGACAGCAGCATCTGAGATGAAGCCTTTAACCCTCTTTTGATCATATAACTGGACTGCTTTGTATTTGTATCTAATAGCTATAAACTGTCAAAAAATCTGCACTGAGTCTGTATTTTTGCTCCTTTTTCTAGAAACAATCTCAGTTTTCTACGACAGCTTTCTTAGGGTCAAGATAGAAAAAAAAGGGAACTTCAAAAGTTCAAAATGTTTGACTTCTTGAGATTTCTGAGTTCTTTATAGGAAATTTTTCACTTTCTAAATTAGAATTTGTTTTTTTAGAATATTTGTTTGAATTTTTTAGATTAATCTAGCAAATTTTAGACTTTTTTTTTTTTTTTTTTTTTAACACTTTTTTTAAATAAAAAAACCTTGATTTTTCAAATTTTTT